AGAGGAGACAGAGGTTAGATGTAGCAAACAAGAAAGGACAAAAAAATCGTATGATCCTGATTTCCTAACTTATATGCTAGAAACTAAACCTCAAAGTTATCAAGAGGTTGTAAATTCCTTTGAAGGACCTCAATGGAAGGAGGCCATTAAAAGTGAGATAGATTCCATACTGTAAAATCATACATGGGAACTAGTGAATCTTTCTTCAGGAAGCAAACCACTAGGCTATAAATGGATTTTCAAAAGGAAAATGAGAGTAGATGGAACTATCGAAAAATACAATGTCAGATTAGTAATAAAAAGTTACAAACAAATGGAAGGCTTTAATTATTTTGATACGTATTCTCCAGTTACGAGAATAACATCTATTAGGTTGATACTTGTGATTGTCGCTTTGCGAGATCTTGAAATACATCAAATGGATGTTAAAACTGCATTTTTAAATGGAGATTTAGAAGAAGAAATCTATATGGAACAACTCGAGGGGTTTTCGTCACTAGTGTAGGAAAAGAAAGTTTGTAAGTTAGTGAAGTCACTATATGACTTGAAACAAACATCTAAACAATGGCATAAAAATTTGATAATGTCATGATAGAGAATGAATCTAAAATCAATGAGTGTGACAAATGTATTTACGTCAAAGACACTAAAGATGGTTATGTTATTTTATATTTTTACGTTGACGACATGCTTATTGTTGGCAGTGACAATAATTTGATAGAATCCACTAAAAATATGTTGAATTCGATATTTAACATAAAAGATATGGATTTAACCGATGTTATACTTGGAGTCAAAATCTTAAAAATATCGGATGGGCTGGTTCTATGTCAGTCACATTATGTGGACAAAATTTTGGAAAAGTTCAATAAGGATGATACTGGCTTGCCTAGAGCACCGATAGATACAAGTCAATATCTATCTAAAAACAAAGGTGAAAGTATCTATCAAGTAGAATACTCGAGAGTTATTGAAAGTCTAATGTACTTGATGAGTTGTCCAAGACCAGACATAACCTACACAGTCAGTAAACTGAGTAGTTACACTAGTAATCTAGGAGCTGATCATTGGAAAGGAATAGTAAGAGTACCAAGGTATTTAAGATATACTCATGACTACGGACTACATTATACCAGATATCTAGTGGTCATTGAAGGATACAGTGATGCTAATTGGATATTTGATATAAAAGACTCAAAATCCACCAGTGGATTTGTGTTCACATTGGGAGGTGCTGTCATATCGTGGAAATCCTCTAAGCAAACAGTTACAGCCAGATCTACGATATAATCTGAGTTTATAGCTCTAGATAAATGTGGTGAAGAGGCCGAATGTTTACGCAATTTCTTAGAGGATATTCCCAAATGATCAAAACATGTGCCAGCAATTTGCAAATATTGTGACAGTCAATCAGCAATAGAAAGGGCACAGAGTAACAAAACTTAATCCGGTCAAATATTTCATTAATTCAATTAATTAATTCGAACATGTTAACAAGCAACTCATCAATTAATAAATTAGGAAAAAATTCATATCTAAGAGATTAATTATGATCCATTTCAAAATTAAGAAATAAGGTTTTAAAACATCAAAAATCAAATATTATTAAAATTTATTTATGAAATAATTAATTAAAAAATATTTTATTAATTAAATAAATTAATGTCACTATTTGTACAATTTGATCACAAATTATTTCTAGATCACAAATCAAAAATTTTATGGCACAATTTATTCATTGATCACAAAATCAAAACTTTTATTTGTTACAACTCATTTATCGATCACGAATTATCAAATTCATTGGTTACGAGTAATTTTTCTGTCACAATTTAATAAATGTGAGTCACAATCATATTTTTTAGGTCATAAATTAACTAATTTATTGGTCATTATCAACCAAACAATTGGACACAAATACCCTCGTTCCATCCCATCCACCCACAACCATTGCCGCGACTACCATGACCTCCAATGACATCACAACCACCTCACCAGACCCACCACTACAGCAACGCAAACGCACCACCACATAACAAACTCCTGCACCATCATCGCTACCAGATCGCAGCATCACCAAATACCCTTGGCACCATTTTATTGACACAATCACCCAAATAATTAATCACCAAAAAATTTTTATTTAACCAATTCCCATCCCACTATTGGCACCAACCGAACACTGTGCCATCTCACAACCACTACCAGCACCATTGCCACATCACACACCACCACCACTTCCACCTCCACCTCCCATCTAACCATCACTGCCAACATCATCACCTCCACAGCCAAACCAAGATCTAAAATCAAAAGGAAACTGTTGGTTCTCCATTTGAATCATTGGCATCATCATCAATAGATCCAAAATCAAAAGTAAAACCACTGGCATCATCGTCGACAACGAACGATGCAGCACCGATGATTCTTTAGTGGAATCAAAGTAGCTAATCTGGGAGAGGAACCAGGAGCAGCATCGATGGGAGTGAAAGCAATAGATGATAAACCTGCTCGACAAAGAGCTCAATGTTGTAGTTCGCTGAGGTGGTGATGCTCACTATAGTAACATCATTGCGGACCTGCAATAGGTGTGCAGTGGTCGATTCATTGTAGTGGCGTGAGCAATATCATTGCAATAATTGTGGTCCCCTGCAGTGATCTACATTTCTATACAAAGAGAGAGGGGAGAATGGGAGGAAAAATGATTTAGGGCTTGAGGAGTAGAGGTGGGGTGGGTATGTATATTAATTTCAATTATAATATTATTTATTATTAAAAGCTTTTAATTATCATCTGATTTTTGTATAAAAATCCTTTAAATTTTACTTTTGAAAGTGGAACTTAAAAAGAGGGTTTAGTGTGATTTTCATAGATAATTTAATTTGTAAATCTCATTCATCTAGTTTCCCTTTTATTTGTGACCCACATTAGGTTCCTGATCATGCTACCTAATGACGTGAATTATTATTTTAATTTAATCAGAATAATAAATTAAAGTACCCCATTTTAGTTTATCGTCAATTCACATTCGTCAACCTAGATTGACATCTAGCAATGTATCAAGGTAATATATGTGACGAAACATATCACGTGGTACGACAAAATCAAAATTGTTCATTTACCGTGAAATTATAATTCATTCGTCAATATGATTCTATCAATTAAGAGATAGAAAAGTGTAAATTTCGATTATTGATCATATATTGCATCCCACTATTAAGGCAATATAAGTTGAAAACTCATTTTAACTTATAAATACACAAGGATTTCGTTATCAATTTAATTGAATAAAATGTAAATCATAATCTCTTCATATCTAAGAGTGATAAATATCCTATTGATCATTTACAATATTCATATTATTCTTGAAATGATCGAAGATGTCTTATTAGCGACTCTTGACAAAGCAACATCCAATATCACCAAAACATGTATGTCATCATATAATGCACCATGATAACCTCAAGTCAAATGACCAACTTTACTATCGAAGGTTAGAAATTAACTACTGACACTCAAATAGTTATCTAAGTGGAATCTCTTCAGCGGGATTCCAATGTTTTATTCTATCATTTAAGTTTCATCAAGTTTCAACTTGTAAGATCAGTTACTTACTTAAAAAGTGAGAAATGACATACGTAATGATCTAACCATAATAATCATATTCGTATCTCGTTATTATTTACAATCACAAATGATTTAAAATTCAGTCATATGTAATTTGTATCTCATAATCACAATTCTTTATGATTAATAAGTTTATCAAGACTTGAATCTACATAATCTATTATTTAATTTATTAAAATATTAACTTAATTAAATAATAGATCTACTATAAATGAAAGACATCAATTATATATTAAAAGTGTTGATGTCCAAAATTGATTGGACCTAGGGCATAACACCCACATGTGGTTTAAATGTATAAAGTGTTCCTGATGCTACATATCTCAGATGCTTGAAAGTGCCACAATAACTATAATTTTGCACTTTTCTTCAAACGCCATCCAATTTGGTACTCACTTTCATTGTAGATTTAATTTCTCAATTTAGTGTAATTATAAGCCCCTGTTTGATTCAGCTAAACTTTTTTTTAATTAAATCTAAGTTAAAGTTCACAACTAATTTTAATCTCCAATTTCATGGAACCCACAACTTTTCAATTACACATTCGATCAACCTTTATTAAAATTTACTAAAAATCTGAATTTTATGTGAACCAAATGAGGGCTAAATTTCTCATATGATTTACTGATGAGTCTGTAGTCATCAATTGTTATCCTACTAATGAAGGATTGATGTTTTAGACTATGATGCTACCATATTTAGTGATTGTTCCATGGTCATCCAACATATATAATTGTGACATATACAATCCGACAACTTTTGGAGTCTATAGAAAGTGTAATGAGTGCGTAATCGATGATGCAAGACGAAAGAACGATCAATTAGAGAAAAGGTGGGGCATAGAGTATCGCACAACACATCACATCACATCACAAAGAAGCATCAATCTACGATTACTTTTAACCTAAAGAGATTTGATGAGTCAAAAAGATTTTTCATAACATGATAAGGGCATGTCCAACCCCATCCCTATTGCATCATAATTCACCAAATTGGAACAAATTTTTGGTGCAAACTACCTCTAACCCATTGCACCATTTTGCCCAAAAATGGTTAAATACCTTTTTACCCTTCTCTTCCACTTCGCACCAATTTTTGTT